GGGGGGGGGGGGCACACACCCGCAGCTCCTGCAAGCGATCGGGCGTCTCTAGAGACGCCTGATTGCTTGTATGTAAACAGCCATCGCTGGCTGTTTACATGCTCACAGTTTTTCCTCTCGTGTGCGCGCTGAGTGCCGCACACGAGAGGGGGGAGGGGCAAGACGTCTTAAGACGCCCTCCCGCTCCTAGCAGACTCCCGTCCGGCCGTTCACAAACGGCCATGGACGGAAGGTGGTTAATAAAGTGAATAATTTTGCACCAAAACTTGCACTAAGTGCATCTGAACTTGGTGATTACAACAATTTCCTGCCATCCACATAGTTCTGTCCTTCCTCCCTACCTCTCTTGCTTCTAGAAGACCATGGCTGTCTGATCCCTGCTGCCCGCTCTGACGCAATTAAATATTAGGTCACATGGTAGGGAGTGTAATTTGTACAAAGTGGCCTTATCTGAATGTTTTATAGTGTAACCTTTTGGAGATAATGCTTTTGATTTTCTGTTACATTGTATTAGAGTGATTTAATATGTTTATCTAAAAGAATCAATAAAACTCCAGTGCTGCGTTCTTAAGAGCGTATCCTTGTCTCTCCATTACAAAATTTAGAGGAGAAATTTGGAAGGCGATGAGTTGAGTGCCTGGTAGGGGAGAGAGGTTTTTTTTTTCCTTCCCACTTTTCTCTTCCTACCTTTTATTTTATTGTGCTCTGACTGCCTGACATTTCCACTGCTCTACCTGTGTGGTCTATGGACAACATGGTTGGAGTGAAGGTGGGTCATTCACTTTAGTTACAACATTGGTTAACAGGCCACTTAATGGCTACTTTTTGCACTAGAGTAGAGTGAGGCAACATTTTTATTGGTTTTCATGACAGAGAATCCACACCAATTTCCCTCATGACTGCCAGGGCACTGCCGTGCATTGAACTTCTGGTTTCCCTCATGCATTCTCTATTGCTATCCTTATAGAAAGTCACTAGGGGCCACTGTCTTAGACAACAACCATTACAGTTTCCTTCAAAGTTTTATTTGGATATTTTCATAGATCTAGATCCATATAGATCTATCTATCTATCTTTTTTTTTTCTTCTTCATTCTATTGTAGTTATGGAGGCACTTGTGGGTCTTGCAGCAGAGATAAAGCAAAGTATTTTCTTGTAAATGTTTCAACAGAGCCAAGTCCATCTTTATCACATGTGTGTAATAGGGATGCACCGATATATCGGCCGCCGAAACATATCAGCCGAAAATTGCACTTTTGGCTAAATGCCGAAAGTGCCATTTTCCTGCCTATACATTGGCGCATCCGTGCTTTCTTTCCTCTCCGCTTGGCGCTGCTCTGTATCCTAGCGGGGAGGAGAGAAAGTGTGACAGCCGGCCGAGCGCTACGGGAGGAGAGCGTTCTGAGCGGCCGGCATCTCCTCCCACACCGCTCAGCCTCCTATCACAGTCCGGCAGAGTGGTGTGTGGGCGGAGACAGTCTGGGCTGTCACAGGAGGCTGAGCTCTCCTCCCTGCACCGCTCGCACAGCCTCCTGTGACAGCTGTCAGATAGGAGAGCGGTACAAACACTCAGTGATAGCTGAGTGTTTGTAAATAATTGAGGACATGGTATGTTTACTATATCCTCAATTATGAATGAATGGGAAGTGATCTACATCACCTCCTGTTCATTCATAGATGTAGTTATAGTAAGCACACCATGTACTCATGTTATGAATGAACAGGAACACTCATAGAGGATTCCTGTTCATTGATAACAGGGGACACAGAAAAAGAGAGAGATGATTGTGTCCTCAATCTCTTTTTCTTTTTTAAAAGGGAAATATCAAAGGTCTGTTTAGACCCCTAATATTTCCCAGAAGCCCCTAAAAGTAAAGTAAGAGTAAAGTTTAAAAAAAAATATTTAATAAAAAAAGAATTAATCAATAAAAATAAAGTTTATAAAAAAATTAAATATAGAAACAATTTGAAAAGATTAAAATAAAAAACATTTTCGGTTTCGGCCTGACATTTTTTTTAAATTTCAGTTTCTGTTTTGAAATTTCCACTTCGGTGCACCTCTAGTGTGTATAGATCAGGAGTAGGCAACCTCGGCACTCCATCATGCTTCTGAGAGTCATGCCTGTGGCTGTCATTCTTGCAGTGCCTCATGAGACTTGTAGTTACACAACAGCTGGAGTGCGGAGATTTCTGGTGTAATATAAACAGCTGATGTAGCGCGGCACTGCCTTATTAAATCTTTGACATCACTGGGCTTGTACTGGTATAGGCACACTCTCAGAACTACCGCTCCCAAGAGCCTTTTCCCTACATGCAGTGTGTGGACAGGCTCTTGTGAGTCAAGACAGCAGCAGCATCATTTGCTGGGCAAGAAATCAATATATAGATGTGAAGAGGAATAGAGATAGTTGGGGATAGGTGGAGTTCTGTAGTCCAGCTTAGAATTGGGCAGGGCTCGCAACCCAGCTTGGGGTTTTAGTGCAGCAGCAGCACTTTGTTGTTCACCAACAGCAGAAAGTTAGGACCTCACTTGTATTTTTTGCATTTGCCACATTTTTTAAGGTTGAAACATGGAGAAATGCGCATGTATTGCACTGAATGTTTTATTTTGCCAGGACATACGCTTTAAAAAGATTGTAGATTACCTTTAGAGAACAAGTACCACTTCAGGGAACCTCATAAACTATTTGCAATTAGCTCTGTTGTGGTTCATCACTCTGATTCTTGGATCACAAGGGCTTCTCCTAGCAGACAGTGACCACATGGCCCCACCAAGTGCAGAAATCTCCCAGCTCTTCCTTGCCTGCTCAGTGTTTTCCCAAATAAACATTGGGCTGCATTAACTTCGAGCTGTCCTGTGTTGCCTGGGACCAGCACTGCGCTGGTGTATATCATCGGTGTTCTCTAAAACGCACAGACACTTCAGTCCCTAGGGATAAGCTTTACCATTTTCAAGTGTACAGCTGGCCATACATGTGAAAATCCAACTGTTTGGATCCAGCCATCTTAATTTTGATTCGACACGGAAAAATAAATTAATGTATTACATTTATCATTCACTTTTTTAAGTCGATCGCTGGGTATCAGATTCTTTGACTGATTTCCTGTTTTTGATTGATATCTATTCAATGGCAGTTATTCAATGAATGTATTTCAATCCATAAAATGATTAAAGTTTGTTGATGGAACCAATTCATTAATAGTAAGTTCTCTTCAGGCTGGTTGCAAGTGGTTGCAAGAAATAATGTGAATGGACAGCGCTATAGAAATGGAATGCAATCATAAATCCCATTCAGATTGGGAGAGAGAGGATTGGCTAGTAGCCAATCAGGTGTTGCCCTACTGCACGGGTTATTTGCGTGTTAATGTCTAGGGGACCTGTGCAAAGGTCTTTACCTGATCCCCAGTCCCCTGGCAATTGGCACTCACCTCTTTCCCCTGTGCTCCGGCTTGTGCACTGCTCTTGACGTTCTTGCTTATGGGCCCTGCATTAGATGTGATGACATCATGGGCCCTGGACTACTGGAGCAGAAGGGGGTAAGAGGCCGTGGGTTCTGGGATCAGTTAAGTAAAAGTGCTTTATACAATACCCCTAGACAAAAATGTGTGTGGGGGCAGAGCCACTGTAAGGAGAGTGTTTGTTTTATTTACCTGGAGACAGGCTTTAAGTGAAGAAGAGAAAAGTTAGGTCAGCAGGTTGGCTGTAATGTCCGCCTGGGTTGTGTAAATTTTAGGACTGCATGGACAGAAATATAAATTCTTTGGCAGGTGAAACCGCTTATGTGTATTTTAACTGTTGTTTTCCCTGAAGTTATCTGTCATTTGTGCCTACAAAAATTGTCAGACGGACAAAATGATCTGCTTAATATTTCCTCATCTGTGTGACTTTTGGTAATTCTGTTTTTTGTTTCCTTTTCCAGCAGCCATTAACTTGGCCAAACTGAAGGTCTTCCGGCACTACTATGTGATGGTGAGTGTGAGAGAAATGAGGAGCTGGATAACACAGTGAGGAAAGGGGTCATTGTAAAGGCTGGCTGTGTGTTCTGTACATTGGAAATACTGTGGAAGCTGAATATTACACTGACTCATTATGTTATAATATACATGTTCAGGTGACTCCGGTACACACTATGCCCGGCTCATATAAAATTACATTTTCATTTTTAATGCAGACAAAATGTCTACATCTTTGTGTTAGAAGTACATCTGATCCAGGTTCTGCCCATTGCACTGAGAGCCGAACGCAGGCCGCGTAATATAGCATTCATACTACTTTTAGCGTCATTCCGCCATAGTCGTCCTCTAACGCTCCCTCAAATCTTTATGGTATAGAAATACCACAAAGATTTGCGGGAGCGTTAGAGGATGACTATGGTGGTATGACGCTAAAAGTAGTATGAAGGATCTTTTTTTTTAAATAGACCCCCTATGTGAAACAAGGAAGGAACAGGATTACGTGTAATGAGCTGAAGGTCATTACACGTAATCCTGTTCCTTCCTTGTTTTACATAGGGGGTCTATTTTTAAAAAAATGATAATTCTTGCATATCACCACAGAGACGCTTCCCTACTAGCTATCCCTTTTTCAGTTATTTATAAAGCACCAAACAAATGCTGTGGATATGATACACTATTTCAAAAAATAGAACACTGGCACAGTTATCAGGAAAGTGTCCGGAACCTTTCCTTAAAGGAGAACTATGAGGTGAGTGAAAACCACTCATCCTCATAGTTCTAGACCGACCTGTGACAATGAAACTCTTACACGTTGACCTCAATAGATCGGGAAGTGAGCGAACACATACCGTCGCTCGCTCACTTCTCGATCCTGTCCCTGTCGGCCACGGTTCCCTGCAGAGATCCCCCCCCCCCTGTCCGATCCTCCAGCGCTGACTGGCGGAACGGGAGGGGGCGGGTATAGCTGGCTCTGCCTTTCAGCAAAAGGAGGCACGTGGGGGAATTGTATCACATATAGGAAAGAAGGGACGAAAATAAGGAAATGGTTATAATGGAAAAAAATTCCAATGGGCCTGATGTGTGCCCTCCATATGCACCAAACCATCAACATAGTGAGCCTGTGTTGAAGAAGCTTTGTGACGTGTGTGCCAAATTCTGGAAAATGGCAAATTATCGCAGGAATATTTGTGCTACAGTGTACTGCAGATATTGGCCACAGATCTGCATATAGGTCTGACTCCCTCTGATAAGTGTCTTGACAGATTCTTAACAATGGAAGACTGAACGATGAGAAGCTGCCTCCTCCCGCTCTCTCTACAGGGGTGTGGAAATTTTAGAAAAAACTACTTGTCCAAGGACTAAAGCGGGGGCCGAATCTATCAGTCCCTCAGGACAATCTACTTGTCCTGATACAAAAAATAATAATTTTAACCAAAACCGTATTTAGCAGTGCTAAGAAGCACTTCTCATTGGTCCGTGCCGTCAGGTGACTGCGTTGACCAACGAGTGCTTTCAATTTGCAAGCAAAATTCAGAATACATGGAACAGGTACAGATAGTACACCCGTACTGGTGGACGAGAAGGACCATTCGCCGAAAGGTAAGTATAGTGGGAGGGAGATTTGTACGGGTAATTCCATTTTCCCAAATTACTTGGGAAAGTGAATTTACCCTTTAGGGTTGGTGCAGACTTGGGCAATCCCGGGATGCGCGATCGTGTGCGGTGGCATACAGCGGTTGCATCCGCATGTATGGGGTTACATCTGCGTGGCAATCGCTGAAAAAAAGGTAGATGTACCTATTTTCACGACATGCACCGTGCAGTGTTTTCAACCGTGATCATGTGGGATCGCCCGGGCGGTATTGCAGCAGGAAAACTCGCTATCTGCCTGACACGACGGGGGTGCCATTAGAAAATAATGGCACTGACAGCACGCTCGGCGGTGGTGTGTGATTCCGTGACCACCCAGCCATCCGCTCGGTTTCATGCACGATGGCCGGGCAGTCACAGATCGCACACCACTGCCGATTGTGCTGTCAGTGCCATTATTTTCTAATGGCACCCCCGTCGTGTCAGGCAGATTGCGCGTTTTTCTTGCTGCAATACCGCCCTGCCCGAGCGGTTGCACGCGATTGCAGTTGAAAACACTGCGCGTTTAGTTGCATGCAGATGGGGACAGCAAGGCTGGTTCATGTTTAAAATTTTTGTTTACTTTGTAAAAAATTTTAATTTGTTTTGTTATTTTTCCTTAATCGCCTTTTTATTTAGTAAAATTTTTTATTATTTTTTTACTTTTTTCATTTTAACTATTAAAAAAAAAAACTTAACTGTATTGCTATCACACAGGGAATAATAATCCTGTGTGATAGCATTTGGAGGTGACAGGTACTCTTTATTGACCCTGTCACCTCCAACACAGGAGTTCTAGCACAGCACTGTTGCTAGAACTCCTGTGATAGGAACGAGCAGCGGCCGCCGGGTACAGAGGCTGAGGGAGGTGACAGAGCCTGTCACAGCTCCACTGTCCGGCTTTGTCACTGCTCCACGCCCCCTGTCACGGCTCCACTCCCCCTGTCACGTCACGGCTCCACGCCCTCCGCTCCGTCCCCGCGCTCCACGCCCCCAACACCCCTGCTCTAGCTTAAGGGAGGAGGAAGTAGCAAGCAGGTTTGATGAGGGTTCAGAAGCAAACTTACCAGAGGGAGTGAACAGTGTTGCTCTGCTGTCTGCATTTCTATCACACCCCTGCCCCAGATCATAGGGTGAGAGAGGAGAAGATACAGTGAGCTGCTATAGCTCTCTGTATCCCTCCCTGCACAATGACAGCACACAGAATGTGCGTTGTCGCTGCGATATGCGCCTGATAAACAGAGGTCCCCGAGGGACACTGTGCACACATCTGTGCGCTCAAGTGCCATGGTTCAATGTATCTATACTGCATTTACAACTGACAGGCTTAAAAGAGAACTATGGCCCAACCTTTTTTTTGCCATAGTTCTCTTTAGGGCCACAGGAGGACATATACTAATGTGTCCCAAAACTCAGCATATAGCAGAGCCGCACTGCAGCCAGGATGGATCCTGACAATATATTGGGGATCCGCCCCGCTGCCTGATTGACAGCTGGCTCTCTAGTGGCAGAGCCAGCTGTTCCTGGCCCTGTCCCAGTCTATTCCTCCAGTTAGCACTGGAGGAACGGAGAGGGGAGGGGGGAATCCCTATGGGGAGCGGTGACTGACGGTCACTGCTCTCTGCAGGGAGATGAGTGGGATCTAAGCGATCGGCAGTATGCGATCGCTCAGTTCCCGATCAATAGAGCAGACATGTGGCCCATGGGCAGTGCCACACATGGGCTCTAAAGATGGGGGAAGAGTGTATTTGGCTCTCCCCATAATTCTCATTTTAAAGTAAAGCTTTCCCCTCTCTCTAAATTGAATGTAAGTGACATGATCTAAATGCAAATCTAGCAGATGCCTGCACATACAGTAGATCTTTTCATTTTCTGGGAGCACTGATGATGCTCAGTATGCAGATACTAACTTCTTCCAAGTCATAGCTTTGCCATACTCCTTTACCAATGAGAACCTCTATACTGACCAGGAAGGCATTGTCTGAAATGAAAAAGGTACTGCTGAGCACATAAACATGATTTTCTTCAAATCCTGTGTCATGGGTGCACCTTGAATTTGTTAAGGATTTTTTATAAATTAAATTATTTAAAATATAATTAAAAAAAAAAAAGTAAACTTGGTTAACTCCTTTAACACAGAGACTATACATTGTAGCAAAAATGTTCCAGTCTTCTAAATTGATATACATCTGTTCGGACAGAGCTTTGGGAAATTTTGTATGAGGTTATTCCTTGTGAAATTGGGCGCAGTAGCAAATATATGTACATAATTGATAAAAGCTTACACAGTTACTACGATAACTTTCACCCATGCGAGGTAAATGGTTCCCATAATTTATTAAACAAATTCAAACCCACGCAGTAAATATAATGCAAGACTTGCAAAACAGAGAAGACGGTGTGCAGCCTACATTATAAATGAATGGCATTTGCAAATTGTGAAGCTGCACTATAACTACAGGGCCTTCTGTAAATCTTCCCATAGAATTATTGTGCTGTTGAGTTTAGGTTTTCTTTATTAAAGTCAAACCGCAAGGCAAGCGGCCGCCTGAGGGCGCTGCAGGGTGAGGGCAGAAAAAACAGGGCATTTTGACAAGTACCTCAGGCAGTCGCCGGCCAGCTAAATTGGGACCCCACCTGGAGCTCCTCCCACCGGACAAGCGCTGACTCGCCGCTGCTCTCCCGCACCTAAGGTAAGTGAAGAAAAAAAAAACCATGCTGATAGGGAGCAGGCCCAGCGCTACAGGGGGTCGGGGAGGGGCGCAAAAATGCAACTTTGCCTGTGTAGGCAAAAATCCTAGCACCGGCCCTGACTTTAGGCAAGTATAGAAGTCCACCATTTAATGAAGTTGTATAGTCCTTTAAATTAATCTTGTAAGGTATAGGGCCCCAGATCTGTCCTTTATATTGGCACCTTTCCATTACCTTGTAGACATGGGTAGGGAGAGGAAGGGACCAGTTTGGGCTCTACTGCATTTTACAGATTATCCTTTTAGATTGTAAGCCCTCAGGGGCAGGGCCCTCCTCACCATCTTGTCTTGAATTGTATTGTGATTGCAATGTCTTCCTTATATTGTAAAGCACTGTGCAAATTGTTGGCGCTATATAAATCCTGTATAATAATAAAAAAAATACAGTGTTGTCATTCTAACACTTGGCTTGCTGGCAGGAGGGAAGAGCGATGTGAGTAGAGTGATTATCAGTGTGGGGGTTCCCCCTTCATTGGTCAGTCAGTAAGCTGGAGTTGGGTTGGTACATTGTTTAAAGTGGAATTTTGAAAAGTTCTCCCTAGCAGTGGGCCTACCCCTGCACTGTCTGCCCCTTTTTGGCTAGGGGGTGACATTAAAGAAGAAATGCTCACCCATTTTTCAGTCCTGTCTGGCTTCTAGACCGGTCCCCGCAGCCTCTTCTCCCCCAGGTTCCTGGGACCCATCACATCGCATTTAATACAAGCCTATTAAACTTGAAGACGCTAAAGCAGGGGTATCAAACCTCTGGCCCTCCAGCAAATCCCATGAGGCATTGCAAGATTCTCACAGCCACAGACATGACTCCCGGAGAGAGATGCATCACGGGATTTGTAGTTTTACCACAGCTGGAGGTTTGCTACCCCTGCGATAAAGGATATTCCACAGCCGGAGTGAAGGGAGAGAGCAGTGAACAGTCACTGCCGCAGGACCGAGGATTAGGCGAGTGTTTCTTCTTTATTTTCGCCCCTAGAGAGAAACGAGCAGTTAACCCTTGCAGTGCGGGGGTAGCCTCACTGCAAGGGTTACCTCTCTATCCTGGCGTTCTTTGACGAGCCTGCCTGATTAGGCTGTCTGGCAGGGGTTCCTCGAACTAAAGACTAGCTGAACAAAATTACAAATGATTATCACGCTGATCCTATGACTTTGTTACTATTTGAGTTAATGACTCCAAATAAGTATGTAGATTAGTAGTTCTAACTCTGCTCTAACAATACTTGTTGCATGCTTGTTCTAAATCCATTAGACCCAAATATTAAAGCTGTAGCAGTATTTCTCTCAGTGCAGATGTTTTCCAACAGTGCCCTCTGAATGAATGTTTATATATGCTTAGTGCTGGCCATACACACCAAAATCTTCCTTCAGTTTAAACCACTTTCAACTAGCTTTTGATCAGAGACCCAATCAGTTGGTGCAACCTACCACCACGCCTGCCGCATGAATGTAAACTGTCTGTAGTAGGTTGTCTTGATTTGTCCAATCACCTTTGCAGAAGCAGGTTGAAAGTGCCTCCATTTGGCAGGAAACTGCAGTATGTATGGGAGGTATAAAAGTTTATTGGTAAATTGGGGATGTGTTCTATATCAACTGAATACAGACAAGCTCTCCTATGGTGCTTTATGTCACAAGCTGTGAACGTGACCCGTTTTTACTTTGCCGCTGACGCCCACCAGATCTTTAAACCGACACAGAGGATGTTACTGTCCCCTGGTGAATGAGAATTGATAGCCGGCTGGGCGGGTGGATAAATAGTCGGCTCCCACAGTAATTGCATTAGAGGAATCTATCCAGGAGATGGCCTTGGGTGCTTGAGATGTAGACATAATAACCTGCAGCTCACAGAGCGATATATTAAGTGGGTGCCATAAATTCCTCTCAGCCAGATTTAGGAAGGGAATAGGCCTCAGCTTTCTAGATAGCAGGGTCATATCTCAATTGTCCCACTTCTTTCTGTCACAGATTGTCTGCTTCATCTACTTCACTCGAATCATCGCCATCTTCATCAAGGTCGCAGTCCCTTTCAAATGGAAATGGATGTATGAGGTAAGCCAGCAACATAGTGTAAATGCCGCTGGTCGGTGAACGCAGAAATATTTTTGTGGAGCCTTTATAGAGCGGTTGGGAACAATCGTTTTTCACTTTCTAGTGCTAAATAGTCTTCCAGGAACATATGATATCTCCCACACGAGACCACGTTTTCTGAGTTTGTACATTAAAGAGGATTTTTTTTCTACTGGTAGATTAACAAGCTTCAATAAACTGCCAGTTTTGATGGCATTGAATACTGGCCCACCCTCTTCTGCTTCTACCCACTGGCCCATTGCTATGGGAGTGGTTATTAGATAGAAACATACAAGAGGGTAGAAGCCAACCATTGAAACCTGGGCGATTGGGGGCACCAGCCGCACTTGATGGGTTATGTTAAGCGGCCTTTCTCAACCTTTTTTCAGTTACGGCACCCTTCAAATGTATGATAAATCTAGGAGCACTCCACCTAAAATGTACAATAAAGTGTGGTCCTTCCCTAAATCTATTCCAGACCCTTATCCTAGATAAGGGTCTGATACAGATTTTTAAGGGAAAACTCAAAAAGCAAACAAGAAAAAAAACAATATGTGGTTCCCCTTCATCTCAGGACCCCCTTTCACATCAGAGTCCCCTTCCATTTACATCAGAGTCCCCCCTACACCTCAGGAGCCTCCTTTCTGTCCTTGCGCATAAGAGCCCTCAGTTCCCCCCTTAACATCGGGTCCCCCTGTTCTATCAAAGTTTGTGACTGCGTTGGAATGTGTGACCGGTGACGTGGTCACACATCTTAACGTAACCCGCCCAGTTTTCCGTCGGTGGAACATGTGACTGCCAAACGGTGAAGAATTCCAGCTGTTCCAGGGCAGATCGGCATCGCAGATCGTATGTGCAGGAACAGCTGATCGGTCCTGAGATGTCACTTCTATCCGACTTTGTGACTGCGATCCCACATTGCACAAAGTCGGATAGAATTTACATTTCAGGCTCGATCAGCTGTTCCAGGGCAGATCGGTTCTCCTGCGCATACCATCTGCGATGCCGATCTGACCTGCAAAAGCTGAGAAATCGTTGGAATTCTTCACCTTTTGCCGGTCACATATTCCACCGCCGAAAAAGTGTGCGTGATTAGGTTAAAATGTGTGACTACGTGACCGGTCACAAATTCCAACCCAGTCACAATCTTTGCTAGAACACCCCCCCGCCCTTTCCTTTCATGGAGTCTTCCCCTTTTAACTGGCAAATGCTCATTGGTCAGCACGGTCGCATGAGCACGCTGATCAATGTGAAGCACTTCTTACATCAAGGACTTGGTCCACAGCTCTGACGCCCTTCTTATTGGTCAGCGTGATGACAGGGTGCTGTGAGAAAGTGAGCTTACCCTTTAAAGGCATAGCAATGCAGAATGTAAAAGTCCTCCAACAGAAAGATGATGATGCTTTTGGCCCTTTGTCAAGTCTAAAGTGTACACAATAGACTGTGTCCCACTCTCTCTCTTTAAATATACCCAGCACCACTCATGCCTAATTAGTCATAAAGAATCTTCCACTTCCATCCAAAAGGCCATGTGGATTAAAAGATCTGAGACTAACCCCCACCCCCTTCCCAGTGGTTTGAGTGGAAAATACATTCCTACATCTTTACTGTATGATAATACAGTAGGGGGGCCTTTGGGATCTGGATGTGGTAAAGTGACACTAAACTCAGGAGCACTTAGAAATGCATTCAAGTACCTTAACCATTAACAAAATTGTATCTTACGAGTGTATAACTCGCATCATCTCTGAATCATTTCTGAATTGGTGTCCTTCCTTCTGGAGGGGGGGCTACTTTTGTTCCCTATGGTCCCTGTTTGTGGTGTAAAGTAGCCCCTGCTGCAAATCTGCTCCTGTGATGGACTACAATCTCATGTTTAGTTTACTCATTTGTATTGAGATTGTAGTCCATCATAGGAGCGAGCTTGGAGCGGTGACTACTTTACTACACACACACAGGGACCATGGAGAACAAAAGTAGCCCCCCTCCAGAAGGAAGGACAGTGTCGGCACCAATTCAGAGATGATTTGAGGATCTACGGCCGAGTGATACACAAATAATTTTTGTTGATAGTTAAGGTACTTGGATGCATTTTTAAGATTTAGCTCCCGAGTTTAGTGTCACTTTTAGTACCTGTATACCTTGATATCATCCTCACAACAGAGGAAAAGGCAACACTAGGAGCACATCATAGCCCTGATGCATGCTTGTGTGGTGAGAAGAGGTGAGAGCAAAGCTGGTGGCTTATCAATGTGTTGAGTCTCCTTTTTCCAGTTGGAAAGCTGCAGGCAGGGAGGTGATGGCACTCTGTTACTTTATTAGGGAAAGTGATGTCACCTTCCTGACTCTGCTGTGTTCATGTTCCCAAACCTCAGAAAATCTGGCTTGCCTGTGTGGAACTGTATAGACCTTCAGTACTGGCAATAGAGTCCAGCCCTTTAGGTGCCTATATCAGTTTCATTACTTTAGGAAAAGTATAGTCTATTTTACTAACCTCCTTAGGCTTGCTATTTTTAAGAGTGTTAGGTTTTGGGTTTTTTTTTTGTTTCTAATGTATGTATTGGGATCTCTCTAATACAAAAGCCTAATGGTAGCCTGCGTATAACTGACTAAGCCAGACAGCCCTGACTCTGCTAGGGAGGAGTGTGTCCCACCTCTGAGAAAGTAGCTGATGTTGCTTAGAGCTCACCTAATGGTGTATATGTATTGTTTGTAACAACTACTAATATTTCTTTTTCTGTAGCTCCTAGATGAGTTGGCCACGTTTGTCTTCATCGTCTTGACCGGGTACAAATTTCGGCCAGCATCAGACAACCCATACCTTCAGCTTCCACAAGACGAGGACATTGATGACCTGGAAATGGAAGCCGTGTAAGTGGAAAGGAGCAAAGATCTTGAAGTCCTATGGGTGACTTTTTAAAAAGAAAGCTGAACTTTTCTGCTCCCTTCAGTTCCTCATACCGCAGCCCACTGTACAATGAATGGAATTTACTGCTTGCTCCGACATTGGTTTAATCACTTGTAGAACACACTTGTCACTTGAATGCCATGGGTGAATGTGCCAGACTACCATGCTGCAAAATATAGAGTACATGTAAGGAAAAGAAGGCAGGAGAAAATATTAGTGATATGAGACCCCTTTCATAGTGACATTTGTGGCTCAGAGCATAACCACCTGTCTCCCATGATTTATGTCTAGTCAGCTTGTGATATGGCTGTGCTGTGCTGCTCCATGTGTCCTCTGGCCTCGCCATTTTGTGATTTGGTTGTCCTGTGCTTCTCCATGTGTTCTTTAGTCTCATAAGCATGTGATATAGCTGTTTTGTGCTGCCCCATGTGTACTCTAGCCTCACCAGTTTGTGATATGGTTGTCCTGTTATCCTCCATGTGTTCTCTAGTCTCCCCAGCTTGTGATATGGCAGTTCTGTCCTGCTCCATACTGTGCTGCTGTGCGGAGCGTTGGATGAAGGGTACACTTTGTACAATCCAAACACTGAGTCCTAAGGGTAACTTTGCTGGGCTACAGAAGTATAGATTGTATGTTCTAATGGCTTGTTCACACCATGTCTGGATCATGTCCAGACCAGAACAGTTTGTTCCCGGACCAAAAAAGCATCCCAATGTATCCCTATGGTTTCTGGGCCCTATTCACACCAGCACAGTCTGTTCTTGTCCAGACACAGAAAAAAAATACTGCTGGTCTCATTTTCTCTGGTCTGGAACGCATGGAAACGCACTGGACTGCACATGAAAGTCCATTGTAAGCTAAAAAAATGTGGTAAAATGCACTGCGTTTGCAGATCTGCTTCAGATCTGGTCTGGACAAGCCCTAAAGGCAGACCATGTCTGCTTAAAGTGATATTAAAGCCATTTTTTTTCATTTCTCCTTTAAGGAGACTCTCCTTTGCTGGAGGCTGTTGTGTTTTTTTGTTTTAAAGTACTTTCCTCGTTTTCTAGTGTGTCCCCGCCATGCTCTTCTCCCCACCCCCTGCACAGGTGCCACCATTGTTCTAATGGAGGCACCCGTGCGCACTCGACCCCGCAGCGGCTGTGTGCGTCCATACACACACAGCCCTGTGGCAGGCCACGCCCCTTCCTTTGATTGATGGCAGAAAGAGTCTATGGCTCCTTTGCCATCAGTATACTCCCCTGGAAGTTCGGGGTACGGAGGATCGTTTCGGGGTCGGCAGTGGGGACGAGCGCAGCTGAGAGTTAAGTCTGGGGGGGGACTTGGGTAAAAAAAAAAGGTGCTGGGCTGTTTTTACCATAATTTAGAGAATGCATTAAGGTAAAAAAACGCCCAGACCTTAATACTACTTTAACTTGCAGTTTCACATTTTCAAAATAAACATACAGCTACCCTTTGAAATGAACCGTCGTCCTTAAATTAAAGGCCTTTTAAAACCAGACAGCAAAGTGTCACCAATTCGATTTGTTATCCACAGATCCCTCTTCTCTGCACATGTCTGAATCTATTTTCACCTTGTTACATTTTTGTGCTTCCTTCCCTTTTTAATAGTTTTTTCTGTTTTTTCTCCCATTTCATATAGAACTGTAAATAGCACAGCACAATGGAAAATAATAAAGCAGATTGAGAGAGAGCAATAGCTCAGCACAATGTATTAGTTCAGTCAATTTATTGCTCATGGAATCTGTAAATCACAAAGGAACCTGGTGTTTTCAAGCAGGCTGTTTGGTAATTGAGAGCATAGACATGGCGGAATAACAAAATAAGATTTATGTAATGATTAGTAATTTTAACAACACGTAAAACACTTACTAGCTATTCAGAATCAGAATCGCTATAGAATGGCAATTTGCTCCAGGAATCCATCTTGGGAACCTGTACACATTGGTGCGTTTAAACAAGCTGAAATTATATCATTTGGGAAAATGAACCAGATTCTCCAGCCGGCTGATTATTGTTTGATAAGCAGTTGTGTTCAGTTTGTTGTGATCAGGCCTACCCCATAATGATTCATTGAAATTGTGCTGTATGTCTTTGGCACCCTAGATCCCGGTACACTAGATGAAATTTCAAATCAGAGTCAAGTTGGGTGGGGGGTGTGCACTGCCTGCTGAAATGGGGGAGGGGATGACATGTGAGTGGCACATTTACTATCTAAAGTTTTTCTTATTCATACACATCAGATGTGTAAGTGTCATGGCCAGTTGGAGGCATCCAGGGAGCCTCCAGTTAAAATACATCTGTTACCTGTTTGGGTAATATAGACTAAGCATATGGTCAACAAACGTCATATGGAGGGGGTTGTTTGGAAAAAAACATGTCAGAATGATCAGGAGATCCAGAGATTTAGGCATCTGAAGCAGATTTTGATGTTTTTGTAAAAGCCTCCATATTGGTCAATAAGGCTGCCCAGCAAATAAATCACCAGAGGGGAAAAGCCGAGCTTAAAAGAGAACCATGTGCTAAGCTTTTTGTCCCATAGTTCCCTCTGGGGTCACGGTAGGACATATACTAACCTCCTCCCGTGACCCAAAGCTCAGTATATATACTGAGAGCGCCGCATCCAGGATGTATCCCGAAAATACTGTAGAGATCTACCCAGCTGGCTGATTGTCAGCGGGCTCTGCCTATCTAGAGCCAGCTGTGCCCGCACCCTCCCCATCCGACCCTCCAGTTAGCGCTGGAGGTATACAGAGGGGGGGGAATCCCTGCGGTTACCGTACACCGGAACAAGTACGCAGATCAGGAAAGGCCAGAGGTTCTCATCTGCATATTTGTTCCATGTCAGTGACAAGTATTGGAGGAGGAGGATGAGTAGGACAGTCAGGCAATTTACTGAGTGAGAAGCTGCAATGGCAGCCCTTCTTTATGTCCGGTGATGTGCTCTTTGCAGTGAAGGTGATGACACGTTTTTTTGTTAAAGGGCCTGTGCTGTACATTGGGTAGGTTTGCTGTGGATTTTTTTAGCTGCTGCAAGTGTTTTTAAATACATTGAAAAAACTCCAATCCTTTGGGGGGATAAAAAAGGAATGAGTGGACCTCCTATTGTAGTTGCATTTCAAAGCAGCCACCTGGTCAGCCCCTGGTTAAGTTCCCATAAATATCTAGAAGGCCGATGGAGAAAGTCTTGTAGTCTCCATCAGATGGAGAGTTTTCCATTGGAATGCGTTCTCCTTCACTGTATGTGTCTGTTTTGTGTCCACCAGGTCAGATGTCCTAGTTTAGGCAGCCCAGCCTTGTCGTCCGCCACCCCCCTCTTTTCCTTCTCGCATCATACGTGCCTGGTTTTTCACCGTCCCGTCTCTGAGGGATGCTCTGTGTGTGTGTGTGTGTGTGTGTGTGTGTGTATATACACAATGGCTGCAGCCCAATTCTCCTCACGTGACACAGTGGTGGTGGTCTTTGGGTTTACTCCTCTGTATTCTGTGAATGGTAATTCTTACAGTGAAGCAAAATGGGGGATATGTTGTCATTTTTTTTAAATAATAATAATATTATACAGGATTTATATAGCGCCAACAGTTTGCGCAGCGCTTTACAATATAAGGAAGACATTACAATCACAATACAATTCAAGACAAGATGGTAAGGAGGGCCCATGATGGGAGAGATTCTAGAGAAGTCCTGGAGGCGAGCATGGGGGAGTTGATGAAGGAGCTGGAAAGCAGGAGGTCTTTGGAAGAGCAGAGGGGACAGTGTGATACTTTGAGACCAGGTTGGAGATCTAGCCGGGGGCGGAGTTGTGGATGGCCTTGTAACTGATTGTTAATATTTTAGAATTTTATCCTTTTGGGCTATTGGAAGCCAGTGTAGGGATTGACAGAGGGGGGTTGCAGGCACTGAGCGGTTGGTTAGGTGAATGAGTCTTGCAGCTGCATCCATGATAGACTGAAGGGGGGAGGAGCCTGTGTAGTGGAAGGCCAATGAGGAGAGTTGCAATAGTCAAGACGAGATATAACAAGTGAGTGAATGAGTAGTTTTGCGGTTTCATTGGTGAGTAAGGGACATATTTTGGAGATGTTACGAAGGTGAAGGCGGCAGGATTTGGATGTCATTGGATGTCTTCCATTGTGGCCTGCATGCAGCAAAAGAAGTGCTCATGCCTGTAGCACACAGGGAGATTTCCAGCTTCCTTAGCCCCGTTGCCTACTCGCCTCATAGTTCTCCTTTAAACTCTCAAACTGTTTTCAATAATGAATCCAGATCAAACAAACATACATTGCCCAGCAAAGTATAGTCCTCTAAATCCAAAGCGCCTCTTCTAATTTTCTCCCCAAACAATTGCAGTCATGTTTTAAAACATCTGCTACATCTCTCTCAGCTCAGCTTCCCTGAACTTCTTGTCCAGTACAAGATCACAAGAGACGGCATAGTTTCCAGTAGCTGTCTATCTACCAGCTTGGAGAAGGAGGGAGGGAGGATTGGGGAGCAGGGGAGTGTCTTGCCTTGCTGTGTATGTGGCAAGGCTCTCCCCTGCTCCTATTAGGATGCTTGGGGTAGTGATAATGCCGTTGTTTGTTCTCCGTACTTTATGGTGCTAGCTAGGTACATCCTAGGCCCTCCTAGTATACCTTTTACATCAGTGTTATTCCAAGCAGAATGTTTAAGCATGACTGTGATATTCTTAAGATGAATGTTTGTACATCTACAGCTACATTTTTGAACCATGTTTTGAAGAAGTTATGATCTTATAATGTAATGCCCATTTATAACACCTAATTACTTCAGTTTTATTAGGTAACATTACTTTTAAGAGGGTAGCCTTTAAGACTTCTATGTTCAGGGGGGCATCCATAGTGGCCTAAAAGTGGTTCAAGTCATTTTGGTAGCTATAAAAACCAGAAACTTTTTCTTGACTCCATTTGTCACAGCCTGATTTTATGCTGTATGGTCCGCTGAACGATTTACTGTATGCGATAACCTACTTTCAACTCCTCACTTACGTATGTTCCATGTTAGTGCATTCTCCTTTAGTGGACTTTTATATAGTACCATTTGCAACCCCTATGTGACAGCAGTGGTCCAATTGCCACCCCTTTATGACAGCACTGGACCACTTGCCAACCCTGTGTGACAGCACTGGGCCAATCGCCACCCTTAAATGAGCGCATCGGGGCAATTGCCACCCCTGTATGAGAGCAACGGGCCAATTGCCACCCTTAAATGACAGCACTGGGCCAATCACCACCCCTGTATGAAAGCATCAGGCCAATTGCCACCCCTTTATGACAGCACTGGGCCAATCGCCACACTTAAATGACAGCACCGGGCCAATTGCCACCCCTATATGAAAGCATCAGGCCAGTTACCAAACACAAACACCATGTTCCCAGTAGGGCAGGGAGAGAAAGATAATTAGGTGCTGCCAGTTTGATGGTTGTTGAAGGAACCTGTTGCTTTGGCCTTCATGGGTAAAGCACAGGTTTGCTTCAAAGCAAACTTCTCTTTAAAATATGTTAAGAAACATGTGTGTGGTGGCACTGTGTGTGGTGGCAGCGTTCCTCAATTCCTTCTACACGAACAATGGTTTGAAACTCTGCATGTGGGTTAAGCTGGATACACCCCGACAACCAGTGTGAGGCTACAGTAAAGCATTCCTGAAAAAAACAATATCCTGGGACCTCTGTTCTCTCTGCCCCTTATTTAAGTCTTATCTAATTCTACAAGCATCCATATAGTGCACAGTTCAGTTATCTGTTGGATAAGTGTATGGAGAATGGCTACTCAAGTTCATCTTCCTCAATCATATAGGAGCAGCAGCAGACACTTTAGGTCATCCTTATGCTCTTCCCTCCTGTAAACCTGTTTAGCCGGGTATACTGAAAAGCACATGCAAAAGTGGCAGAGCTCTGATTGGCATAGTGTGCTGCTTCTCCTTCTCCCAGCCTGAGTGCTGCTACAGGAAGCTCATCTGAAGTCAGATTCTGGGATCCAGAAATTCTCTATTGATTCTATTTTTGTTGTAATATATAGAATAAGTGGCACAACTGCACATGCACTTTATGGGAAAAGGGCCTTTAACAGGCTTATTCTCTCTCTCTCTCTCTCTCTCATATTATATATTTATATATATATATTTATTTTGTGTGTATTTGAATTATTGATTATTTTCTGAGTAACTGAGTTCTCTATTTCCTGTTTACAGCGTTACAACCACAGGAACAACAGAGGGTGTAAAGAAAATAAAAAAGGTGGTCAATGGCTCTTCAGATCCCCGTTCTGAATGGGAAAGTTCTGCGTGAATGGACACACTGACCAAGTGGCTTTTAATTTATTACCTACTCCTTCTACTCCATGCAAAGTGAGCGGGTGAGGGAGGAACCACACCTTCATCCCACTTACCACACACTGCATCTTCCCTGTGCAGACACAGAATAGACCTGACCAACAGTGATGGTCAACAACTCCCCCGAACACAACTTGCCACGTGGAATTGTCTCTGCAACTCACGCATCCAACCCCCCGGATGTTAGGACTCCGCAAAAACTTTTCTGATTTAAATTCCTATTTTTGTTTGAACAAGGAGCTAAATGTATCCATGTAGCACCCAGCCAGGTTTGTACGTCACACTCCAGTAATACATAAGGCAGCAAATGGTATCAATGATTTGACTATTTGTGAGGTAGAACGCTCCATTGCAAATTACTCTTTAAATCGCAGAACTTTTTGCCTGCGACTTTATTTTCTTTTCCCTGACATTTTTAGGTCAGCTGCATATCTATGCCTCAGTTAGCTAAATAATAAAAGTTGGTGTAAATATATATATATATTACTATTTTTTTTGTAGGAGAAGATATAATGAATTTATGAAACGTAACAGAGAAATTGTGTTGAACAGTTATTAGCCCTTATTTTGCCCTTTTAGTTCTACGCGGGCAATGGGGCATTTCAGTGAACCAGTCATGATTAGGCTCATGCAGTAGAATGATTTATAAGATTCAAGTGTGCTGTCTTGTAAAAGATATAATCTTGTCTCCTTACTTCAATCTTTTTAAATCTGCAGCCTGTTTAAAGTGACAGTCGGCACTAATTGTGATTTGTTTTACACATCTCCAATCTGTTGCTGAGAGAAGTGCTAAAAAAAGCTTCAAGAAAGTTGCCGAAAGCTTTCCAAATGCTTTCTTAAGGCTTGCTGCTCTAGTACACACTGAGGTTTGTGGGTGTCAATCCAGGCTCTGACAAAAGAAAGCAAAATAAGGGGGCAAATTGAAATCTTTCAAAAGTAAGATGGCTACAATAATAGAATATTTAATCTTTGTATAAACTCATTTGTGACTGCTTCTCTTTAAAGTCACCCATACTGAACAGATGATCCTGTCTGGCGGACTAAAACCATATTCTGGTGATTAAAGCTGTACCGCAGTCATCTAAAAGAAAGAAATGTCTATTTGTGTGCCAGTTCCCCCCTAGACTAAATGAGCATCAGAGCCCTACTATACAGGGGTGGGGGGAGCTACAAAATGGGATTTGTATTAATTGACTAGTTCATCTTTAATTCAGTAGGAACCCGGTAATGTGTTCCCAGCGAACTGATAGGCTGCTTAAATTGTATTTCTACTTTTGCAGTCAAATTTGAGACAACCTCTCTCTATGTTTTATGTGATTCTATTCACACAGCATAAAGAAAGATAATTAAAAAATATATTTCTTACCTCCTTAGATGTTTCGTTAAAGCAGGCAAGATAGGCGCTTCTGGGTTTTTCTCGGCGCCTTCACGGTGATCTGTCCTAATGGAAAGGCTTAGGACTGAAATTTGAGGGTTGTGTTTCTCTCATTCACTTAATTAGCATACAATGGACAGACCCCTCGCCCCTCCCCTATCATTGCAAAGAAAGAGAAGCAAGTAGAAATGTTAACCCTTTAAAAACCCTAACCTACGTAAAAGCAATTAACACTGCAAGATGCATTTTTTAAAATATTTTCTTTTTTTTAGCTTATACTATGGGGACATGTGACAAATATGAAATGGATGTTATCCCAATATGGCTGCCAAAGTGGAAATACACTTTTAAGGATTCAGCTTACCAAAATGGCTATTTCCTGCTGCGTGTGGCAGATGTAGGGTTTAAAACAGTGGTTCTCAACCTGTGTAACCTCAGGACCCACATTTGACCCTTGGTCAATTAATTGCGACTGAAGTCGCACTGCACTGGAATGCAAGGCACCGGAACCGCGTGTTCTGAGGCAGGCGATCGAAATGTGGGTGGGAGGTCCGTTTAAGGGTGCTATTCAAATGAATGGAAACGCAACGCACTTCCCGCACCAGAATGTGCTGTAGTTGCGATTGCATGGTAACGCACTGTACTAGTGTGAACGGGCCCTCAAAAACACTGACGGACATACACAACCACAGACGCATTCTCATACACACTGCAAAAACAAATTTCACCCAGTTTCCCTATCTTATAAGAACTGGATCCTCAGCCTGGGGTCCAGTGTAGGCTGCTGTGCTGTGATGGAGCTCCATCTATATGTGCATTGCTTGTACGGCTCCCTTGTGTGCCCTGTAGAGGTGCTGGGAGCCAGAATGTGATATCACTCCGGTCCGGGCACCTTTACAGGGCACTCAAGGGAGCTGTAAGGAATGCACTTATGGATGGAGCTCCCTCGCGGCCCCCACCTCACCTCAAGCTGACACTCGGCCCCAGGCAGTATATTTTGAATGGCTGCTCGGCGCAAGAACTGAAAGTGCTGCACTAGGGGGAGGCTAAGGAGCCTCTCGCCTAGCACAGTGGAAGGCACGCAGCGACCCACTGAACAAGGGCTTGTGACCCACCAGTTGAGAACCACATGTTTAAAATATAATCCTCATTTGTGGTGAATTTATTAAGACAAAACGGTGATAAGATACATTTGCTAAACAGTATCTATTACCTATTGTATCCCTTTGTTGCTGCACAGGCCTCTACATGTGAATGGTGTCCATTGACAATAGTTCAGATTTTGCTTTTTCCAAGGCAGCTGTTTATAGTGACAATGACATGCTCAGTTTCCAGATAGAGTAGTAAGCAGAATGTGAATGTTGGGCCAAAGCCTCCTTTAAAAGCCTTTGCACGCTAAATGAAGATGTAGTTGAGTCCTACAGAGTTATTAGTTTCTCGTCTTACGTTATCACATTCGCCCAGAAAGGTGTAAAGAAAGACAATGGGCCCGCAGTTGCTGGGTGTTCTCTACACCCTGTTTAAGTGTTGCCTTGAGGAAGAGAAATAATGTTGTGGCCCAATAGGGAGAGCTCCTTAATTTACCTTAAAAAGGGTACCTGTTGTTTATAGAAGGTGTTCCATTCTAATGTCAGGCTGGCCACCAACAACCTGGAAACATGGGACCCAGCCAGTGACCCCAGGAATACGTAGCAGGTGTCTGTGTCTATGCTGTTTTCTATGGCTCCTGCCGCACAGTTCTACTGGCTGACCTCTAATTATATGGCAGCTTTCAGCATTGATGCCATGGTGCGTAGGGGAAGGGTGGCATAGGTCATCCCTAAAGTGGACCTAGTATCGGATATGATTTGTGATGTTAAGTGCGTATTTGCTAAATAATATGTAACACTTACAGGTATTTATTACCCCTCATAATGATCACAGTACTCCACCCTGCCAATGCCTTTCGCTCCAGGAAGCCAGTGCCATCTCTGTTCAGGTGTCATCCAGAGATACCAGAGATACTATCTGACTCCTGGTCTGAGATGACACAATCATGTAAATCCCAGTGTGTGTGCCATTCTTAGCGGTTCCTGCTGCAGTTTATGACCTTTGGTCTTGCTATAAAGTTAAGCTTTCAGCCCGATCAGTCTGGGAGAGGCAACTGAGGAAATGCTTCCTCCTGCCTGCAGCAGACTGATGGCCTGACCACAGCCTGCAGGTCGAAGGCATTTTTTGGGGGTATTTACTAAATAAAGTACTATTTTTTTTTTTTAAACGTATACTGTTGCTGTCTATCATGACATGTCAGGAATGTAGTCATCCTTGCATGTTACTGAAAGGTCCACTTTAAAGAACAGACCTACTTCCAATTAGGCTTTTTCCCTTTAATCACCAGAGACCCTCGTCTACTTGTTGAAGTGACCTGTCACCACAGGAGGCCCATTTGTTAATATGGCCGAATGGCTCAAATACCTGTTTTTCCGCGTCGCAAGCAGTGCTCCCTCCCATCAGTTCATAGCTCACTCAATACATTTGAGCCGGCAGGAAAAACTACTGCATGCACCATGGAAAGTAGCTATTCTACCCTTCCAGCCAGTTTAATACTTGCAGTGGCCTGAAGAGGTGGCAAATCAACAAACAGGCACCAAGAAGTTAAAGAAGAGCTCCGGGCAAAAAAAAAATTCAGCCTACTGTAACTAGCTTTTGGAAGTATTATAAATCTGTGTTTACGTTTCTGCCCGGCAGTGTAGTCTTCCAGGAATCCATGGTACAAGTCTGTGCTTCCTGCCCTCTGCCTCCTCATTTCCTTTTTGTTAGACTGCACAGTGCCTAGTGGTCTATCAGCCTAGCCTGTGGTCTAATAACCTCCTTCCTCTAGTTCTTTTGCAGCCAGCAGGAAGAAATGACATCCCAGCATGCATTGCAGTGGGTGGAGTAGGGAAGCCTTAGGCCCCGTTCACACTTAGCGATTTATCGCGCGGTAATTCCCGCGATATCGCGGCAATTTACCGCGCGATATCGCTCTCCAATGCTTCTCAATGGGGCAAAGGGTCCTGCTGTCGCGGGTCGTGCGTCACTACAGCAGGACCCTTTTTGGAGCGGATTTAGCCGCGATTCAAGCTTGCTCAATGCAAGCATTTGCGCGATATCGCGCAAAATGCAAAACGCGCGACAAACGCGCAATTTGCGAATCGCGCAGTGTGAATGGGGCCTTAGACTGCTGGTCTGACCCTGCCCACTCATTGCAGCTCTGCTCTGTCACACCCTTCCCTGAGACTGGGTGGAGCTGTAGCTCTGTGTAATGCAGCTGTGGTTCCACACAGCCAGATGTCCTGCTGGATTGGGAGGTGGTAGGATAACTCAAAGCAGAGGAATTTGTCATGCAGAGGCACCTGTAATGTATCCCCCTGTGTGTGCACTCAGCAATGAGAAAATAAAGTCACAGGGTAACATATGTTACCCTATCACAAGCCAAGGATCAGCCATGACAGTGGAATGTGCCCAGTAGCCTAATACGAAAGGGGGGGGGGATTTGGTGCTTGCCACCGCTCAGTGGTTGGTTGTTTTTCCAAGTCAGCTATGTTGTCCTAGATTGTTCCCTTCTCCAAACTCTTCACCCTTTTGTGACTAACCCTCTGTGTGTGTGATACAACACTGCAGGAGCTTCCACACTCCACTAACTGACCGGCTGTATGGATGGACCCTCAGGGTGGGTGGCAGCCATGTGTGGATAGGTGAATGGGTGTGTACATTGAATACTGATCCCAACCTTGGCTCTGTCCATCTCCACCCATACACTCTGTAGCTCTTTCCATCTCCACCTTCAGCTCTGCCTGTACACAGTGGCGTCACAAGGGGGGTGTGGCCCACATCCGGGTGTCACCATTGCAGGGGTGATACCAAAATGACTGACAGTCATTTTTTAGTCACCCCCTTCTAAAAAGTCGGCACTCGGTCATGGACCGAGAGCCCGACAATGTCAGGAGAGAACCCGGCGGCATACCTCATTCCGCAGAGTGAACATCCCCTCCTCTGATGGCCAACGGCAGTTGTCAATCAGATGGTCGCGCATGCGCTAGGTGACGTCACGTGCGATGTCGACACCCGCGGTGTGTCACCCGGTCTAGATGGCCCCTGTCTGTACACTCCTCCCACTTCCTCTATTTCACAATGGCTCATGGA